CATAAGATAGTTTTATGGTCCTTGTTTATATTACTAAATTCTTAAATGTTGTCTAGATCTTAATAGTTGTTTATTTTTCGAAGTTCAAAAATAATCCACACGTATGAATAAAATGAAGCTTGTATGTCTTTCAATTAGAAATAACTTTTTTATTAAGATATTTTTTATTAACACACTACTACTTAGCACCATAATGCCCAAACCATAATGTTTTATTTTTTCTTTATTACTAATGAAGTCATGTTTATTATTATTATTGCCGGATTCCAAATAAGTGTTTTTAAATTTTCCTAGCAACTCTTTCCATTTTCTCGTCTATTCAGGTAGCGCACTGGGAAATACAATGTGTAAGTTAGTGTCTTCATATACAGGGTGTCCCAATATTCCATGGACATAGAACTACTACGTATTTTTGGAATCGTAATAAATTCAATGGACACAACTTAACTCTATGCAAAAGCGCTTCGTTTGTCCGCTAGAGGGTATCAAACTTTAAAAAACAAACACATTTTTCAGATATTTTAAGACCCGTTATTCCGATTTGAATGAGATTTTGGGTGTCTATGTTTTGCGTAGTGCTTTAACATTTGACTTTCCAAAAATCATGAAAAAGTACAGGAAGGGTGAAAACTACCCCCACCACTACATTTAATATTAGTATAAACTAAATAAAACAAGAATGCACTCGGTCCCTTTAAATATTATATTTAAAGGGACCGAATACAAAGGGCATGCGTATGATAAATCGCTAGATTATGTATTATTTCAATTGGCTGTACATTTTTTACAAAAGGCAACAATGCATTCGAGAAGAAAAACGAAGTCTGAAAACGCCATAGCCCTATTAGAGGTTCGAGGTTACTGCGGCGTCTATCAGCAAGATGAAATAAGTGCCACATCTGTAAGTTAATCTGTGGTTCCGGTCTAGCAACACATTGTATATGAAATAGTCACACAATTAATGTAAATTCAATTAAATTACTACATAGCGATCTAAAAGGTAAACGTTTAAATTTTCAGGAACAACTAGAAATATAAATCATAATAAAAAAAAAATAAATCATAAATAATAAGTAAAAACCAACAATAATGTAAATGACCAACAAGAATTATTTTTAAATATATTTTTATTGCCCCTGTTGTAAACACTTTAAACTCACACCATAGCAAATAATTATCGTTACACTGTAGTTAGACGGTTAGTTTTTAAGAAATTTTTGGTAAAGGCCTAACAATCTGAAACAAAACAACACAGCTCAAATGAACCACGTAGAGGTAAAATTATGCTCATCAAACTTGAAACATCTAAAAGTGTTTTATTAAAATACTAAAATTTCAACGATGTTTCACAAAGAGCCAACCACATATTCAGTACAATTTATTAATATTAGAATATCGAATTGAGACGACATAATTAACCCAAGTTTATCCCACATTTTTTATATCTATAATAATTTAACATTTACCCGCATATTGCGCTCCCTTCAGAATTCTAATTAAAACATATCAGATCATTGATTACTCAACACTGTATTCAATGGCCCTTGTCCCCAAAACAATTATTTTTTCTCGTATGCGACTATAAATAACTGGTATTGAACTGTAAGACCGATATAATCAAAAATTGCACAAACTGCTTAGTTAATGAAAAAATATACGCTTTAAACTTCTTCCTATTGCCTAAAACGTGTTACCCAATTTGCAGATTCAAGGTTCTAGTAATTTTGCATAATGCCTAGTGAATATGTTAGTTCGCAGATTTTGTTGCGTTCGCATTTTGGATATCGTCGATTTTTTTACGTTATCGGTAACATCCTACATAAAACTGACAGTGGGTTCTAAAACGGAAGAATTTGTTCGCGCTTAGAATTAATAAACAGCGACGGAACCAATTTTTTCACAATTTCTCAAGTTCGACTCTGTTTAGAATATTATATTAAAGTACCGTAAGATCGGTAGAATATAATAAAAAGAATTACACAGGCCATGAACTCTATACCAGGTGCGTCTCAAAAGTGGCTCGCCCCTATAACTTTTTTGTTTTTTTTCAGATAAAACAACGAGATTTGGTTTGTTAGTATACGACATAAATTGGGAATGATTGACGTATTCAATTGTTTTCGGTCACATCCGGTTTCACCGGAAATGACTACAACTTTTGATTTTTAAATAGTACCCTCCGTATTTTTTTACTTTATTCGATAGAAAATGACACTCTGAACCGAATGACATATCATACGTCAATTTTTGACATAGTCACTCAAAAACAAATTGTATTTTAAATTTCAATCTAGAGTGCCATGGCTGTGTTAAAAACACTAATTTTTAGTCAAGGAGCCTTGGAAAAATAGATTTGATCGTCTAATGTTTTTAGTGTCTTGTCCTGGCCGGTTAAAAGATGTATGGCCAAATCGTATTTTTAATCATATCTCAATTTTTTCAAAGGAAACAAGGGTGGCTCATTAGCATATTTGAAAAAAGCATTTTTTTACGAATAATTTGATACCACACACTTGGTATTTTGAGTGAAATTCTCGTTATGAAGCGCATGTTACAATTACAAATAAACCATATGCAAAAATGTCAAAAGTTGATATATGATATGTCATTCGATTCAGAGTGTCATTTTCTATCGAATAAAGTAAAAAAATACCGAGGGTGCCATTTATAAATCAAAAGTTGTAGCTATTTCCGGTGAAACCGGAAGTGACCGAAAACAGTTGAATACGTCAATCAATCCCAATTTATGTCATATACTAACATACCAAATATCGTTGTTTTATCTGAAAAAATAAAAAAGTTATAGGGGTGAGCCACTTTTGAGACGCACCCGGTATTGTCGTCTGTCATTTGCAAAATTCTGCTTGACGGTGATAACTTATAATAGAAGTATCTGCTAAAAACTAAAGTGGTCTTAAATAAATACCACTGACAAACTTGTTTCCGTTTGGATTCAACGCAGTGCAGCTCAAAAAAAATTAGCTTTTTATTTTGCAGATGTTCTTCCAGTGGCGAAAAACCCACAGTTCTTTTCAAGAACTGCCAGAAAGTTATTTAATAAATTTCTTGTAAAATGTTCAAAGTATAAATAAATGATTTCTTCAGAATTTGAAATGTATACAAAAAGGTTCTCTAAATCTAGAGGAATAATAATTAGTGATAGTAAGATCATATACCATCCTGGAGACTTCATCTGTGTGGTCTGTATTTTAAAGCATGCGACAGAGAAAAATATTGTTACGTTTTTCGTCGGTTCCGTGTGGATAGAAAGTCACAATTTATTTAAACACTATTTATTTAACACTAATTAACAAAAACAATAACGATAAAAGACTTATGGAACTATTTACAAACGATTTATAACTAAGAATTTATTTTGAATTTTAGCGCGTCAACTGCACTCGTATATTTTATAACTGCCCTCTGTAGGCCACAGCCGCCGGCTTTTATACCGACAGCTAAAGGTCTCTAGAATAGTCCATAGATCGTTAGGTGCATAGAGAAGGTATCGATTGTTCTCGTATGTACTACTCCATTCCAGTAGAACTCGATGCTTCTCGAATCTTCGAATGAATCATTACGGTGTCTATTCTTTAATGCGATGTTAAGGTCATCCGAGGGCGGGCCATATAGTTAGGTTTGGTTTGGTTTGTTGGTTGGTCGAGTCCACACCGGTCCGCAACAATATATATATGACTTTATTATGGTTGACAGAGAGACAAAATAAAAAGCGGCATACAGTGTTGCCGGTTAGTACGAGAAATAAAATAATAAAAAAATAATATATCTAAATTATTCACACAACAATGCTTATTTCTGTTAGACAGTTGTTTAAGAATCTATATAGTCAAAAGCTTGCCTTATACCACTGCGCAGACCTTAATTTTCACATTTTTCATAGCGCCAAACACAAAAATATTCTTTACATATGCATAAATACAATACATTACAATTCGCATTTTCTCTATTGCGCATAAAGGTGCGTTCACACTGGATGCGCCGCTCCGCCCAAATTATTTTTTTAAAATATACTTTTGTGCGCGCTAAAAAATACACTTCAAAAGTACACCTTAAAAAAGTCTCGCGGCGCGGCGCGGAGCGGCGAAGCCGGTGTGAACGCACCTTAAGGGTAACTGTACTAAGAACGGTTCTCTACTATGTTGGAATAAACTGATTTTTTACAAAACATTTACAATGATTTTCTACAAAACTTTTTATTTCAATACATAACCTTAAGTGTAGTAAACAGTAAGTAAACACAAAAAAGCTAAACATGTCTATCGCATCCACCGAGGCATCCACAAATATTTCTTGTACGTAAATATTTCTTTTCGTGTGAACAAGTAGAATTAGCGAGACACATTTTTCCCAAAGGGAAATTAAAATAACTTTCGTTGCACATCATAATACGACCACCAGCAAACTCCATAAGACGACACATGGTGTCATTGATGACGTACAACGAAAGTTGTTCCAATTTCCCTTTAGATTACTCACAACTCCTGACATTGTTATTCGTTTTGACACTTTAGTTACGAGTTTTTGATGTAAATAAATAGTGTTGTGATACTTTAAGCTTGAAAATGTTTACTCGCAGACCTTGCAGTCGAACATTGTTCTCTTTAGAACCTCTTTTAGTGCGAAGTGTACAAGATAGTTTAATAGCCGTAAAAAACTCATCGCAAATTTATTAGAATATTTTGAACGGAAAAGCGGTAGTAATGGCCCTTTATATCCCTTAAGTGCTGTTAAGGTGAGTTTTGTTGATGTAAATAACAACTGTTTATATATTTATAATTAATTTATTTTTGTCTCCTAAAATATTTTGATTAAAATTAAATACATAAAAGTGGGCAACGATGTGCCGGTCAAGCTTAATTTCACGACTAAAAGTTTATTTGGTTATTTGGTATGAACTATATGTATGTATTTATATTTATAACATCGCAATTAGAGTGTTACGTTTAAAGAGATTGCACTGAATATCTAAAATCGCTCACCTAAAGTCCAGACTTAAATTCCTCTGGTGATTGCTGAGACGCGCTCTGGACCCTTGATGATCCGTGTGACCCCTCCCGTGCACCGCCGGCACTGCATCCCTGCATGCGCTTATTTTCGGACGCTTCAAGGTCAACACCGGTGGCGGCGGCGCTTGCTTCCCCACGACCGGCACCGAAGCACCAGCGCTCATCTTTCTAGGTTCGGAACTGCACTATCTTCGTTCCCATATCATGACGGCCGGCTGCTGAACGTGACCGAAACACAAAAAATTATCGGAAATATCTGCAAAAGATAAAGAATGCTTTTGTTACAAGTCTTCTTCCTGTTCGTGCCGAGATAGGAAAGTGATTGCGAACAAAAATTTGACCCAGGAATTTGTACCTGTGTAAGAAATATTATACTGAGTGTATACATCGGGGAACTATTTCGATTGATAACAGTTTTGGCAACATTCTTGGCGATTCCTATGTAAAATATATATGACTTCCATTTTCCCCCATCATCCCTCGTTTATTGGGGGAACGAGTAAACCCTTACCTATTTTTACTGCTTTTCTATAGTTTGGTCACAGGTTCGGTTTGGCAATTTTTTTTTTCTAACCTCAAAAACTTTGCGAAAATCCGTAAAAATTCAGGAAAATGTAGTAGGGAAAAAATTAAAAAAAAGTTTTCTTATGTATAACAATATAACCTAATGTAAATGGGCCTGATAAACTCAAAAAACCCCATCAGAATTAAGCTAGTATGTCTCATATTTTTTCTCTAACCTCAAAAAACCTACAAGTCATGACTGTAGGAAATCGCACGGATCTTAATCAAAACCGGTATAGGGAGTTCCTTGGGTCGCTGATCATGAATCTGACGTCGCTTCGGATTAGAAGAATTCAAAATGGCGGAATCAATATGGCCTATGCGAATTTAAAAAAAAACATGGATCTGAACAAAAGCTGATCGCGTATCTGACGTCGGATTAGCAAAATTCAAAATGGCGGATCAAATATGGCTGACGCAAATTCCGAAAAAACGTGCATCCGAACAAAAGCTGTTCGCGAACCTGAGGTTAAATGGGTCATCGATCGCAAATCTGAAGTCGGATTGGCAAAATTTAAGATGGCGGATCCCGTATGGTCGACCTCAAGAATAGCCTACCTTGTCGGCGCGGGACCGATTCGAATTGAACCCATACCGTATACTTGAGGTCGGCCATATGGGGTCCGCCAAGTTGAATTTTGCCAATCCGAGATCAGATTCGCGATCAATGACCCATTTGATTTCAGATTCGCGATCAGCGACCCAAAAAACTCACATATACTGATTTTGTTCGGATCCGTGGTTTTTTTGAAATTCGCGTCGGCCATATTAGATCCGCCATTTTGAATTTTGCGAATCCGACGTCAAATTCATTATCAGCGACCCAAAAAACTCCCATATACAAACTTTTGTCCAAGTCCGGGCATTTTTTGAAATTCACAGCGGCCATATTGGATCCGCCATTTTAAATTCTGCTAATCCGACGTGAGGTCATGGTTAGTGACCCAAAAAAAAACTATCCCTATACCGGCTTTGGTTAAGATCCGTGCGATTTTCGAAAATCATGACTTGTGGTAGGTTTTTTGAGGTTAGAGAAAATATCAGCGACCCAAAAAACTCCCATATACAAACGTTTGTCCAAGTCCGGGCATTTTTTGAAATTCACATCGGCCATATTGGATCCGCCATAATTAATTCTGCTAATCCGACGTCAGATTCATGGTCAGCGACCCAAAAAAAACCCTATCCCTATACCGGCTTTGGTTCAGATTCCTGCGATTTTCGAAAATCATGACTTGTGGTAGCTTTTTTGCGATTAGAAAAAATATAAGACATGCTAGCTCAATTCTGACGGGGATTCCGCTCAAAGTGTTATAAAATCAGTAAACGTGATCAATTTTTCCGTCGTTTATATGGCACATTTTCACTTATTTTTTACATATTTGAGATCTCATCCAAAAAAGTATTATTATTATCGAAAAGTGATAAAAATAAAGGGTAGCTCCCCGGTAAATGGTGGGTGGTAGAAGAAAGCGAAAGCTATATTTGGATTCGGAATGAATTCTGAATACATAAGAATCAGTAGGAATGGTACCATGGCCCGAAAAAAAAAAATTTTTTGTAGACCAGTGTAATCAAAAAAACTACTCAATTGAAATCTGAAAATTTTACCCTACATTGGGGTAAATTACTATTCAAGATATATATTTATATACAGGGTGTTTCAAAACAAACGCGAACAACTTCAGGGAGTGATTCCTTGTTCAAAATAAAGGGTAGTTTGGTAGTATAAACGTTGGGTCAAAAGTCAACCATTAGGGAGATATCACCGTAAAAAGATAGCCGAAAAATAATGTTTTTATTTTTTATCTTGAAAACGAAAAGCGATAGACTAATGAAATTTTATGGAAGCATTACTATTATGAAAACACACTTTCTGGTAATTTTTTCACTTTTTTAAAATGAGTGAAAGGGGTGGAAATAAACTATCCCTCCCCTATCATTCTTGTTAACAAAATTTAAAGAAAAATCTTATCAAACACATGCAAAAAAAATGATTTGGACTGTTTAGTTTGTTTAGAAACTTTTTTATCTCTTGTATTTTTTGATAAAACTCACCGATTTGAAATAAAAAAAAATGTAAAGCATTACATGTCAGGACCAAAAAAATATTTAGATAAAGAATCTAGTGGGATGCTGTCATTTTTTAGGAAAAAATCTAGTTGGCCGCTGTCACTTTTTAGGATATTTCTAATATTATTTCATTTGACATTACTCTACTGCAATACGTTATCTTATGCATTATTTTTCCGCCATCTTTGTACCGCGATATCTCCCTAATGGTTGACTTTTGACCCAACATTTATAAACCAAACTACCCTTTATTTTGAACAAGGAATCACACCCTGAAGTTTTTCGCATTTGTTTTGAAACACCCTGTATATTATAATAAATTTCCAGCAACTTTATAAACTTCATACTTGGCAAAAGATATGATTTTTTCGGAGCTATTCTGTTGTAAAAATAATAGATAACATTTTAAATCACCAAGGAATTAGTAAGTATTTGATTATAGTGGAAATTTTAAAGATTAGTCAAATAGTCTAATTCTAAACTTCTACTTTATAAACCAATGTACCGTACGATCGAATAAAAACAGCGTCAGCGATGGCTATGAAATGAAGATCGCTGTCATTTATATGTAAAATTATATGGGAAACGTCATCGAATTTCATTTTTATTCGATCATACGGTAGAAACTGGCAACCAGTTCAGCAAATCTACAGACTTATTATGTTTACTACAATATTATCATTCTTTATTTTAAAACAGGAAAATTAATCATTACATTGGCTCATCTTTTGTTTATGTGCGTTATATTTTCCGATTAAAATGCTATGAAAAAATCATATTCAGTAGAAAAACAAAAATATACAGAATTATTCATCTGCTATGTGGTGTGTGTCCAAGATGCAACAATTATATTTAGACTTCACATTTACTGATTGAGATTAGTAGAATATAAATGGGTGGTCATATGTTTTAAAAATACTTTTTTCGTACAGTAGAGAATAAGGCGTCAAATTTCCTTGGAAATGAGGGTAGATGATATTTTAGATGTAAAATTCATTCCATAAAAAAGTATAGAGTAGAGAGAATAAAATACCTACTATAATATATTCAAACATATGTGTTTTTTTATTTTACCTTCATTGTCAGTTTTGTTTTTTTCTATTGAGTATTAACAATTCTGAATCTCTTATTTATTTGCGATTAGTTTTATGCAAAGTGTACAAATCAGAAAAGAGATTGCGTCCGGATTTGAAGAAAATACTAGCTTCTATATGTCCCACTAGTCAACTCCCATACCTAACGTTGCCGTTTGTTGTCCCTTAATTTCGCAGTTCTGCACGCGCATAAACGATAATCGGTTGGGTGCAAGCTTACAAGGTTATTATATTAAACAGGTTGCCTCGTAACTTTGGACCAATCACAATAATTAGCGCGATTACGTCAGCTAGTGGGACATTCAAAATAACTATTATCAAAATGTTTAATAATAATAACAATTACACAAGTTCAACTGTTCTTCTAGAAAGTCTTTATTTATTTTTATCTAAGTTTGCTAACATTTAACATTTTTAAGCAATATTTGTATTCAAAAAAAATAGTTTTAGCTTTTTACCATGTTAAATTATCGCAACCTAGTCGAAATAATTTATTATACATATACATCACTCAGCAAAAACAATACTGAACATTATAGGCTGTTAGAGGTAGGAATGAACTCTATTTCTAAGGAAAATTGATAAATAATTTAAAAAAAACTATCTAGTTTATCAATTATATTACGTTAAGTACACTAAAAAATATATTATGTCCACTCAAACACTCAAATGCACTTAGTACACGGAAAACCTTAGGAAAACAATGTTAAATTATTTGTAATTTGTAAGCTGAAAACTGCTACCACAGGATGACGCGCAATATGGCGGCTAATGTCAAGTTACGAGGCAACCTGTTTAATTTAATAACCATGGGTTGGGTTTTTGGTGTGCAATCTAAACAAAAAAAACTTACCCCAGAGACTAACCAACGCAACCAAAACACGCATACGGCGTATTTTGATTGCTATTAGATATTTTCAGCTATTTTTAAAAAATAAAAACAGCTATAAAAATAGCTAGGCGTTACTTTCCGCCGTTCTAAAATAAGGCGACAGCAAACGGCAACATTGCTGGGTATGCCAGTTGACTAGTGGGACGTAGAAGCATCTGCAGAAAGTATAATGAATCTTAAAAAACGGTTTCAAAAAATGTTCACTATGCAGCGTGCGATGGTTCCCAAATTAAAAAAAAAATAATGGAACATTTCACTAGTTGTATACCTAATAAACATTATATATAGGAGTAGTAAACAAATCAATTATGACATTTGATTGGAGCTTTTCTTTTAGCATATATTACTTAGTCGGAATTCAATTTAGTCGTACTAAAAAACTCTTTTTTTGTGGTCTAGCTAATTTTGACGATATATACTTAAGGCTTTTTAACACGGTGAAAATATATGGTGAATGTCATTGATCGTCATTTCTAAGCGATCGTCACACTTAATATTAGGCACAAATGTAAACTTAGGGCTAGAGCTGCACCGAGTACCGAGTAGTTCGGTGCTCGGCCAGAATTTTAACCGAGTAATATGTACTCGGTGCTCGGCCTTACTCGGCCGAGTAGGCCGAGTAAAGTATAGTAA